ATTTTTTGGAAAATCTGGATTATTTCGGGGTGATGTCAGCACATCAAAGGCAGCCATCTTGATTCACGAGGGTTTTTAGCACCTTCTGTTTATTTGGACTTTGAATTCAGGTTAACTCTGTGACAAAATATAAGGATCATGCTGAGATCTTTTTTTTAAGTCATAATGTTACAAGAATGCAGTTGGATTAATATCAGACAGAATAAAGTCATATGATAAAATAATCTAAATAATATGAGAATGCAGTCATAATATTACCAGAATAAAGTCATAATATTAGGAGAATGAAGTAGTAACTATATAAGAACTCCTTTTTTCTCATTAAATCAACTTTTTTCTTGTAATTTTAAGACGTTCTTCTGGTAAAATCCCTGCCAGCATGCCCAGGTGGGCCCCATGGGGAAAAGAAGGGCAGACCAGATGGGTCCCATATGGGTTTGTCCGCGGGTTCCACGGTGGCCCCACATGGGTTTGCCCATGTAGGGCCCCACGTAGGCTGTGGCCCTACATGGGCAAACCCATGTGGGGCCATCATGGAACCCGCGGACAAACCCATATGGGACCCATCTGGTCTGCCCTTCTTTTCCCCATGGGGCCCACCTACGCATGCTGGCAGGGATTCCATCTTTTTTCCGCTAATATTCTTGTAAATAAACAAAAATTCTCATAGCCTCCATCTGACAACTCAGAGAAGGGAGGATTGAAATAAATGCTATTTTTTAAATATTTCCCAAGTCATTCATAATTTCTGTATTAGGAAAAAAGGTGAGTAAAATCAGATGGATGTACAATTGAAGTGAAATTATTTTTTAGTATTTTTAATGTAAAGTGCCCCAAGGTGACACCTGTTGTGAACTGGCGCTATTTAAATAAATTTAATTGAATTTTCTTCCGTCCAGGTTGTGGAGCACTTGGGATTTGAAACCAGTCAGAGAAATCACCTTCCCCAAGTCAAGCAAACCCATCATCAGGTAATTAAGCACCACGGCGATCTTCCACCTCCTGTTTCCTTCATAAATGCGTTGCTGATGCGCGTCTCGTCTCTCCTGGCGACCGCAGCCTGACGTACTCGTGCGACGGCCACCACCTCTACACGGCCAACAGCGAGGGGACGGTGATGGCGTGGTGCCGACGGGACCAGCAGCGCATGAAGCTGCCCATGTTCTACTCCTTCCTGAGCAGCTACGCGGCCGGCTGAGCGAGTCTGATGTTTACCGCTGTCCACTTCCCAGTGAGATCGCCTTCCTGCTGCTCCTCCTCATCCTCCTCCCTCTGCTCCTGTCTGCACTGACGGGGAGGAAAGGACGCGTCAGCATGGCGTCCGCCTCTCCGAACCTGCCCTGACTTTTAAATAACTCCATCCCCAGCTGAGCAAACGCTACCACACCCAGCATTAAGAGAACAAGATGAAGCGAGCGTTATGTGTAAATAGATTTATATTTATAAAGTGAAATACTGGAGGAGTGGACGAATCTTCGGCTGCAACAGACACTTTTTCCTCCTCTTTTCCTTTTTTTTTTTTTTTTTAAACTGTTTTCCATTTTATTGTATTTTTTTCGTTCTGTTGTATCTGTTCCTGGGTACGCTGCTATTGTCTGAGCAAAGCCGGAACCAAAAAGTGTGAAGATCCCCCTTCCCCCCGCCGCCCCTCCGTGTCTCTCGCCTCGCTGCTGACAGATTCCTGCCAGAGCTGGAGCGTGTCGTGCTGACGCCGCGGTTTCCTCTCTTTGTGCCTGACACCGGGAGGCGTCCCGCTCTGCGTGAGGCGGCTGTCGGCCCCGCTCTGGTCTGAACAGCGGTGTCACGGCCCGGCCCGCCTCGTTCTGCGGCCCGGCTCAGAGGAGGAACCGCAGGGGAGACGGGATGCCATGAATTGCACCTTGTGCTGCCTGTTGTTCTGTGCTACTTCTGCATGCCAGGATGATGCTGACCTTAACTTTCTGAATGCAGAGATGACATTTCCAGTCATGAGCTCGCCGTCTTAACGCCTACCTGGGCTGCACATGTCTTTTTGCGTTTAGTAAACCTCATATTTATGTATTTATTTAAAACTGAAGCTCATATGCCATGTTTTTTTTTTTTTTTTTTTTTTTTTGCTGGATTTAACTGTTAAAAAAAGCCACACTGCAAAAACACAACAGCATTTTTGTTTGATTTCTACCTCAAATATCTTTTTCCATGTTATAGGTAAAATAATCTGCCAGTAGAACTAGAAGGCATTTGCTGAAACGTTGAAAAATTACTATGCTTGAAATGAGATAAAAATAATATATTTGCTGTAGAAACCAGATGAAAAACACTTGGTAGGATTTTGTGTTTTTGCAGTGTACTTTCAGTCCTTTGCTCTGAAACTCAGAGAGCATTAAATGCTTACGGAGGAGAACCAGAATCTGATCTGATTCTAGACCCGGGCCAGCATGATGATGACCTGGAAGAGAAATATCGAGATTTTAAGGGTTTTACAAGAAAGTAGAACAAAAATAACATGATTTATTTGAATTTTATTTAAAACAGAGAAGCTGCTGCTGCTAAAAGTAAAATATTGCACATTACTAGAGATACATCGATCAGTCAACCAGAGATTAGAATCGGCTTTAATCATTTTTTGCTTTATTTATTAAATGCATCCAATCTGAGCGATCTCACTATTTTCAGTTTACAAACTCTAAAGAAACATTCAGTAGCTGAATAAAAATATAATGAATTAATGCATAAATCTAGTAATCATGCTTTATAACTGTGACCTCTAACTAAAACCTTTTCTTCTTCTTTTCTTTTATACTTCATCTTCCTTAAAATCCAAATTAATTGAATTTTTTATTAGCAGATGAGATCTTAAATCAGGAAATTGGCGTCTTAGCCAGAGAAAAATAACTAAGAATAAAATCTGTATAAGGTTACTGTTTTGGTAAAAATGCAGAATAAACCACCTGCTAAATTTAGTTCGATGTTTCGGAGTTAGTCAGGCTATCAGCTCCTGTGTATTCTCCTCAAATGAGTTACTGTAGATATATCAGGCGCAGGAGGATCCTCTGTTTTCACTCCACGACTCTTTGTGTTTTCTGTAACATCTCCAGTTTCTCTCTCTGATCCTTTCAGTCAGCTGACCGGCAGTGTGCAGCAACAGGCAGGGGAGGGGCAGCTCTGTGTGGCTTTACTCTGCCATCTTTTTCAGATGGCTTTAAAATACAGTATGACTTAACGTCATTGCAGTAATGTTTTTAAACCGTAACCATGGTAACAATAATTGGTCCTTGTTAGGCCCTTTTTAGCGTTAACGATGGGAGTTTCAGATGGAAGATGATGTTGAGGTTTTTCTCAGACTTTGTAAACACTACACTGATCAATCCAGGGAAATGACAGGCCTTTTGACCTTTGAACCCACCAGAAGATCCACACGTCTTCGCTCTACACTCCCACCAGACTCGCTGCACTTACATGTTGGCTGTCTTTAAGCCGAATATTTGTCAGAAGCACTTTTTGTTTGTTTGTTTGTTTGTCAGAGTAGCAAGAATAATCTGTGGTCTCAATGTGAGCAGGGGCTGTGATTCAATGCTGCACATAAATAAATACCTGGAAGCAATATCTCACTCACAAGAAATGTCTTATTTTATTATTTTTAGAGCTCCTGAAAAACAACTCCTGCCTCTGTGTTGAATGCAGCATGAAGGAAAAATGCCTCACAGGTTGATTTGTCTTAGAGAAAGGGAAGTCTTCTTCATTAATCATCATTCCTTCGTCTTACTTTACCTGAGTGACTCTTGGGGAAAGTGTCACGTTGTTTTGCTTGTTTACCGTCTCGAACGCTTATCTACAAATCCTCCTCTGTCTTCTCCTCTGCATCAAAGTGTTTTGTTTTTCAGTTTCTAATTTGTTTTGTTACGCGAGAGGAAGTCAAATAAGGCTGCGTGTGACAAAAGAAAGTTTTATTTTTCCTGTTAATAACTTAAGCTATGCATAATTTAAGATCAATGTCTTAGTTTGTATTGTGTTTTTTTGTGCAGATTGGCATATGGCTGTGTTGTTTTTCTTCTTTTTTTTTGGTGTACATATGAGCGTGTCTGAATGGACAAACCAAGTGATAAATATTATAAATATATAAATATATATATATAAATATCTGAAGACGTATGACGACACCTTGTTTTTATTGTGTCCATTTCTATGCATGAAGAACAAGAACGAGAAAATTAACTGATTTATTGACACTGCCTTTAAAAACTCTAAATTTGCTTTGAACAAAAAAAACAAACAAAAAAAAAACAAGTAGAACAAATCCAACCTTTAATTTAGTACTTGTAGTGTTTGGTGTATTATGCAAAATTCAGATTTAGCACGATTTTGTATTTACATTTGGGTTTCTATGCGTTTATTGTGCTGTTATTGTGAAGATTTTCTTAAAAGAATTCAGATTTATCATAGCAACAATCTAAAATTATGTATACCATTTCCTGCCTACTGTTGGTTTCATGAGAGCATCAATAAATATGATGATTAAATACAGGGCAATATTTTATGTAGAGATTCGGTTGCAGTGATATGAAGTTGCCTAAAAATGACCAAAAAGAAGTTGTAAATACTTTTGTAATCATCTCTTTAGTCAATATCATGATAAATTACACAAAATATTGTGCTATGATTTGAAGAACACATTGCCAGCTCCTAACATAGATATATATTTTATCATTTTAGCAAAAGTTATTAGGAGCCATTGTTTTGGAATAGTCAAAAGGATGGATAGCAATAAAAACTTGAGGCGATTCTGTGACGTAATAAAGGATTGAGATTGGGAAAATACACCATGTACCATCTGTGGTGCTGTGGGCTGGCTCTCTTAAAAGTTGATAGCGATCCAAAATAAACTAAATCGACATAAAAGTGGTTCATCAGACACTAAATCCGCTTTCTTTCTCAGCCACCTGACCCTCAGACTCACACCCAGGTGAGCTGAAAAGGGGGGAAAAAAAGACACCAAATTAACGTACTCAGGTTAAATGTTGGATTTATTTTAAGGCTTGTTACGCATCTCTACCAGCGGGGAGATATCAACAAATGCATGATTAAAATCTAGTTATTAATCCATGTGAAGAGAGCCGTCGTTAAAACTGGGTGAGGCCCGTCAGCTGCTGCGGGGAGGACCCGGTGATGTCAAAGCTGATGTAAAAATGAAACGGGGAAGCCTGCAGATCTCTGCCGCCTTCTGGAGCGGTAAATCAGGGAGGGGAACAACAAACCCGTCCGCTTCTAATTAGAGTAGCAGGCGGTGCGTTTAGGGCCAGTTTGTCCACTGGAAACGCTCCGCCGCTGCTGCAGCAGCTCCTGGTCCGCGGATCTCGCAGCTTGTGCATCACAGATCTCTCCGTCACACCGAGGTTTCCCCCCTCTACTGCATGCGTAACATCTCTCCGGGTCCAGCCGTGGAGCGCACCGACACCTGACCGCTCGGATCGCATCAGAACCCGCTCGGATTTTCCTCCTTCAGATCAGAAGCGAGGCTGGGATTTCCTCCTATCGTTTCACCTTTTTTTCTATTATTCCTACACATCCTCCTCTTCTTCTTCTCCTTATTCTGTGTGTGTGTGTGTGTGTGTGTGTGTGTGTTGGGGGGAGTCAACCCGGAATTCTCCAAATTGGAAAAGCATTGGCACGTCTCAGGTAGGAAGCCTGATTTAATGTCTGCTTATAGTCGAGCATTTTAGTCCTTAAATCCAGATTTTTTTGGATCTGATTCGTGGCGTGGGCTTTTCAGGTCCAAGCAGGGCCGCAGCTCTGTTTTTGTCTCCTTAGAAATAAGGAGAGGCGCCCGCTTCTCGTTTTGACAGATTTGACTCTACAATCAGCATCGGTGCGTTTGGATAAAACGACACACAGGCGATCAGAGGCTGAAATCCAGCCGGATGAAGCCTCACGATGCGCGGATTGAAGTGGGATCTGTAGGCCTGATAGCTTCGTGCGAGGGTGTGTGATTAGAAGCTGCAAATTGTTCACAAATACCAAAAAAAAAAAAAAAAAAAAGGCGATGCATTAGAAATGAAACACTCTATCTTCCATCTGCTTTATTATCTCTGACTTATCTCGGTTTCATACGATGGAAGTGAAGCAGAAATAAAGGCAGGATGCATCCGGCTGCACCACACATTGGTGGAAGGCTTCATGTCTTCATCCTTATGAAACACATCTGTGGTTTGGTGCCTCCTCCTCTCCCTGCTGCTGCTGCTGCTGCTGCCAAACTGGGCCAAATCAGCGCTGAGGGGGGTCAAAACCAGAGCAAGTCTTGGTCACTGCTTGTCAAAAGTGGTGACTGGAGGTGGACAGAGTAACCCAAACATTGTACTCAAGTAACTACTTCAACATATTTTTTTTTTACCCAAGTAAAAGTAAAAAGGAACCATCCAAAAAATAAAATAAGAGTTAAAACTTGTGTACCGAGTAATTGATCAAAACGTAAGAGGATTAATATTTAAAAATTACATAATCAGATGGATCAAAATATAAAGATTTTGGTGTTTTAAAGACCAAGTGGAAAGTAATTTTTGTAAATAACATCATTATATAAAACCAGAGACAAAGAGATGGAAAAACAGTATTTTCTTTTCCTTTTTATTTCTTTCCCGGATCAAACTTCTGTCTAGTTTTATGTGTCTGGACTGTCTGTTTAGAACAGCCCTCAGCTTTCAGAAACAAACTATTTATAGAGCTGACAATAAATCTAATATAATTTAACCTAATTACAAAATAACAAAATGAGGCAAACATTTTTCCAAAGCAATTTCTTCCAATACAAAGAAGCTTGTGACATTTTGGTGCATGTCTGGTGAATGTTTGACTAAAACAAGTTTGTTCTTCATTCAGTTGAGTTACTCACATTGGGAAGAGGATCCAGAAAGCTTACTCAAGTAAAAGTAGCAGTACTTCATAATAAAGTCACTCAAGTGCAGCATAGTAAAATAACTCCTAAAAATACATTCTTTCTCCAAAAACTTTATCAAGTAAATATAATTCTGATTCACTATCTTTGATTAAAAAAATTTAAAAAAAGCTTTTTCTGATTTTAGGCCGAGGAATCAGATTAATTGTCTTCTAAAGTTTTTCAAATAATGTTGCATTCACTCATATTACTGCTTCATCCAGTGTCTATTCTTCTTTACAAAACAACTCAAGCTTAATCAGATTGGACGAATAAACCAGTGAACATCAGTTTTTAAAATTAGTCAGAGATTCTCAGTAGAATCTAGGTCTGGACTTTGACTAGGCCATGCTAACACACAAGTAACGTCTCCACTGGAGCTCTAGCTGTAAGTTTAGGGGAAATCTAACAGGTTTTCTTCCAGTATTGCTCTTTGTTATATCCATAACATATTTTATTTAAATTTTCTTATTCATGTTTTTATTTTCGTATTTAATTTTTAAGTTTTATTTTCCTCTTCTGTCGCCTGGTTTGATTTGAATTTGATTTGTGGAGGCTTGAGGAGTATTTTATGTTTTTACAGTGTATGTCTGCATGTATACTTATGCTTTGTACCACTTCAAAACTATTCTCCCTAACAAATTATAAATAAATACAAATAAATAAAGTAGACCAACCTATCCATCCTTACATCAACTCTGAACAGGTTTCCTGTTCTCGCTGAAGATAAAGCAGCCCACAGCATAATGCCACAATCGCCATGTTTCACTGTGAAGATGACGTGTTCAGGGTGATGTGCAGTGTGAGTTTTGTTTCATGCAAAGTGTTTTGGATAAAGATGTTTTTAGGGATATCAGATTAAAGGAGGCTGAATTTAAATAAACTTTCAAATTTTTGATTCTAAAACATGTTGAAACCATTTTTTTTCTTTCCATTTCAGAATTATTTATTAGCAGAACAGGTCGGGCAGCTGCATTAAGGCATGTTTTAAGGGGACCTATGGTGGAAAATAAATATTTTTGCATGTTTTTGTACTTCCATTTGGGTAACAATTGCTTCTAAAAACAACCCAGAGGCTTAAAAATAACTATCCAGCTGTTTTTTGTCAATAAGTTTGTATTTTTTGGTGTCTGGAAAACAAGCAGATTCAAAAACCTCGTGATTGTTGAATCACATTCCAATCCGCCGTTACCTAGCAACCCCAAGGAAGTCCAGATCATCACCTAGCAACCAAAGCTGAGCTCCAAGACGTTTGGATTCTGTATGTGCTGTACAATGGCCATTGGAAATGACAAGTGTTTTGCTGCTGACTTACCATTCAGAAACCACTTGCTGGATTCTTCTTGGTTGTGAAGAAGAATCCAGCAAGTGGATTCTTCTTCACAGCTTTGAAAAGCATCTTCTGCTTTTCAAAGCAGAAGATGCTTTGAAAAGCATCTTCTGCTTTTCAAAGATGTGGGTGTTCATCTGTTTGGAGCCATTTTTATGTGCGGCGTTGAACTAGGGGTCATGGCAGAAGTGAGCAGACTGAAATTTCATTATCTAAGAATGATTTTGTGCAAAAAAAAGTAATGAACATGTTTTGTTTGTAGACCGTAGACAGATTCTAATCTGTTTATGGAAGCATAATAGGTCATATTTAAGAGAAAGCTAGGCAAAGAGCAGACAGATTCCATCCAATTGAAGCAGGTTTGGGAATGTTACAAATGTAAGTACTTTAAATACTTTAAATAAGTAGCAAATACTTAAAATTTAGCTGCTCAAAAATAAACTGCACTGCACAAAATCTCTTTTCCAAGACGAATAAACAGGTTTGTAGGAACGGACTGCTGGAGACATGGCAGAGAGTTTCCTGCTCACTTTCTTTTCTACCTCTGCTGTCTGTCACAGGCACAACATGAAGGACAGCATCGCCAACAACAGCACAGCCAGCATCTCCCAAGCCAGGAAAGCAGTGGAGCAGCTGAAGATGGAGGCCTGCATGGACAGGATAAAGGTACACTGGTTGTGTTTGGGTTCAGATTCAGCATTTGTGCAGGTTTTTCTCTTCTTGATTCAGATGCACGAAAGTCCTCTTGCACACTGAGAGTTAAAGGTGGTCTAGATTTCTATCTGATACTAATTGTAAGCATAGTGCACTACAATGCACTCAGGTTAACATGTTGTGTCATTTTATGAGAGACTAGCTACAAAGAATAGCCGTTTGCAGAATTGTCACTTTAATTTGCAGAAATCCAGTGGCGACAGTAGAGAGAAACAAAAATAAAAAATAAAAAAAACAGCTAGCTAATCTCAGAAGTAATGGACAAGTACTCTCCAATAAAAGAAAACCGTAAAGAAAAAAACAAAGTTCCTATCAGAAACTCAAAGAGAAACAGCTAAACATGCAATCAATAAGCAAGAAACACTTATCATGGAAATAAAGTAAACAAAGTAAATGGCATCAGACAGGAACGGCACTCAGCTAAATAAAGAATAAATGGACAGGAAGTACTTTGTATTTAAATAAAACATTAGAAAGTACACAAAGTTAACAGCAGCTGTAGCTCTACAAATGACTTTGACCAGGAGAAGTTCAGAAAAGTTACTCTAATACCTGATTATTAAAGCTAAATATTTGTTTTGCACTCAATTGAATACATTTCTAATGAGATGTTTCCACGCACTATTCACCATTTATCAGGTTAAAATTGTTGGAACTTGCAGAACAACAACTGTTTTATTCTTTACTCTGCTCCAATTTTGCTTTATTTAACATCAATTAGCCACTTTAATCAGACATTTGATTCACTAAGAGATACTTTTGACTTATCGTCGCACTCTAAGATATTCTTTTGTTGATTACACATTCATTGTGTTATTTGTCATTCTAGTATATATAATAATGAAGGCGCTGAAGGAAAATTTGGTTATTTAAATAACTTTTTGGGGTTTAAATTAACTGGACCAATATTGAGAGAGGTTGCCTTGAAAATAATGGCTGCAGTGTTGCTAATGAAAGAGTAAGTTTGCTCTCTGACTGAAGGTAAACATTAGTATTGGTTGCCAGGTGGGGACGTTTTCATATCTAATCGCAGACACATTCTGCGCACATATGTCGATTTGTTTACATGTCTGATGCTGTGGGTTGCTCCTCAGTTGGTTGGTCTGCAGACGCTGATGCGTACAAGTTTCCAGATTGCATGATGACAAGATTCACACTGTTCAGTTGTACCTGCCATATGGAGAGCTGAAAGAGCAAAGACCTGTGAGTCTCAGTCTTCTCCATGTTTGGATTTCCATAAAATGAAGCACGAGTATCGAGGACGACGATGTTTTTAGGTTTTAGTGGCAAGCTACTTTTAGCTCTGCCTTTATCGGGATCTATAATTTGCAGCATTCTTCCCATAAGCATTTATTTATGGGGAAATTTTGCTGCTAGAAGTCAAGAGCGGATTGTTTTCAGTTTTCAGCAAAGAGAATTTCATCTTTTTGCTCTCAAAACTTCTGCTCTCTTTCAAATATTCTCGGATCTCCTCGTGCACAAACTTCCTCTCTGCACAGAATAAATTTATGCTTGCAAACCTCTCTGCTGGAGTACCATCGCTTAGCAACCATTCCAGCCAATAAAATCTCCTGCTCGTGTTTCTGTGGCTACAACAGATAGCTGCATGTCGTCTTCTGACGATTTAAGTTTTCTGCTCCTGTGGTTGTCAGGAAATCATGACATTTACAAAAGAACAAATGTTTCTTTATGTCAATTTAACTGTTTTCCATCTGGGCAAAACTGCAAGAAGGGTTTTTTGGCCACATCGTTTGGTGCAATCGTTTGTCGTGTAAACACAAAACTGATATCATATCTGTGCTTTCTCTATAGCCCGTATCTGCTAAACCCATCTTAAACACCTGTTCCGCTTCATACTGATACCGTTTTAGACTACATTTCATGTGGCAAAGAATGTTTTCGCCTGTCAACAACATGACTAACAAGACCAAAATCACTTCCTTTTGGTCTTGTTAGGTTTTGATTAAATAACGGGTGACACGTTACATTTTCTTTAGGTGAAATATTGCTACTATAGTTGAGTCAGTTCCCGTCTTCATTTTCTTTTTGTATCCATTTTACTTCGTACATGTAAGTATTATGAGCTTAGTTTATTTAGATTTGGAGGTCGGCATTAATAAAAATGCTTAAATCTTTATATGTTATCATCCATAATTTGTACCTGCTTTATGCTGAAAGGCTGGATCTTTTGTTCTTTACAGCCTCCTGATATTCTTCAACTTCAAATTAATTATATTAGTAGTAAAAACCAGATGAGTATTGAAGTGTGAAGAACCCTTAAAAAGTGGTTACAGAAATGTATTATATATATATATATATATGTTGAACATTGCGTATGTCTTTGTAAATGTGTAATTTTAGATTTGCAAACATTTAGATTTTGGGCAGATTCTGCTATTTTTGGTGTTATTTTTAAAGTTACACAGTCAGAAATTAACAGCAATAATTTGGTTTATTTAGCCTTTCATAGGGAAAAAAAAAAACATGTCAGAGTTCCAAATTCCATATTTATTTCACAAGTTAAATATTTAGGTAACTAAATATTTAGTGAGAGGTTATATAATTAGTTATTGGTGGTAAACAACGAACAAAACCAGGAAATTGTATTTTTATTTTGTATTTTTAATTTTGTATTTTTAATTGTATTTTTTTCTACTTTCTCCACTTTTTGGTCCATGAGATCATGAATAAACATGAGAAAAATAGAAAATATTATTAAATGATGTTAAAGGATGATGTTTTTTAAGCCAAGAAACCAGTTTAAAATGGGAATGTTTTTCAAGAACAATACATTTGTATCATGTAGACAGTCATACAGTTACCTATAAAAAGAGTAATAAATAGTGTTTTTGTTGTTGTTATCACAATAGTATTACTAAATATTAGATCATACCTATGCTGAAAATATTGAAATTGAAATGTTTTCCAAACTACTTCCAGCTCCGTTTTTTTGTTTATGTTGGGACAATTTTGGGTTCTCCTCATTTTGTATTTCCAAAGTTCAAACTTCCCACATAAAGCAAAAACACATGAATGCTTATAACACAGTAGAGGCTTTTTTATTTCCTTCTTTAAAGTTAAGGTCAGTCTCATAACTGTGACATTTGAAATTTTGGTTTATTAGATAGAAGGTCTTAACATGTGTTATAAAGAGCTTGTTGTGCAGCTGAAATGACCGTGTCATCATGTCGTTCAGAAGCTCCTCCTGTGCTTCGGGAATCTTTTGCTCTCTTTCCCGAGGCTGACTGTGCAAACAGCGTCCTAGTTGAGCCGGAACGCATCCACAACTGTTTAAAAAACGACAACAATATGAGTAGATATGAGGAATAGAGCTGAACTTTTGCTAGACTTGTGCGTCGAAGTGAAAATGAAGTGTTGATTAGACGGTGACTTGACTGTCGCCTGCCGGCTTGATGAACCAGCTGCTTGTTTTGTCGTATTTTCACACATTGTGTTCGTGCCTGAAGTGAGTTACTGAATGAATTTGCACAACTGTGGTGAAGCTATTGCATTGTAGCTGAAAAACAATTTGGTGAACCAAATTTAACAATGTTTTTTCCATTTCTGTGAAAGAAATACTATTTGACTAGATCTAGTTTTAGTTCAGAATTCCTGTTTCTGTCGTACCTTAAGTGTACTAAAATGAAAAAACCTCAAAGTGAAATTTTATCACAGGTCAACTAACTTGGTTGCATCTGGCACCAATGTAGACAGGTTACGTTAAAACTGCAGTATGTAACTTTTACAAAAAATTATGTTTTTTCACATATTTGTCACAAGAGTAAAGTGTGTTAATGATGGAGAAACAACATTTTGATACAGGAAAATTATTTATCCGTCGTCCTCTGTTGTCATGGTAACTAACCTGAACATTGGTTTTGGTGTGGGGAACCAGCTATAACGTAGCAGAGAGCAACAAGGGTACACAAGAGTGATTGACAGCACTAAGACCCTCCTCCTAACACAAATATGTAAAAAAAAAAAACATACTGCAGTTTTAATAAATCTATGTTTACATAACCTTCAACCTGCAGGAGCATATCACCACTAGTCTTAACACTTGAGTTTCTTCAGCAAAACCCTCAATTTTTGCGTTTTTGTTCCTCCATAAAAACATCAAAATTACAGATTTTTGCAACGATCGTTTTGGCGATCTCTTAAACTTAATTAAGAGGTCTGATGAGAGGAGGTTGGTATCAGTGGAAGAAGCAGGGATCACCACTTTCTCATTAATTGCTCAGCCAGCCAAAGGAATGTGATCAGTGCTAATTAGAAGGACTCTCCCTCCATCATGGGGCTGAAGTGTAATTACAATCAGTCTGGGCCTAATGACACCCTCAGTGCAGTACCACTTTTCCTCCTGTGGGGCTCCTGCTCTCTGCAGTTTATATAATTACTGCATTTAGTTTCATTATGAAAATAATTGGGTTTTTTGTTTTTTTGGAGACGACTGTGAAAGTTCCACTTTGTGAAGGACTGAGCAGAGGTTTTTCAGAAAGTAGACAGACGGCGTCTTCGGCTTTATAGCTTTAGCTTAGGAATTCTTTATTGTCACTTTAAGCAATTGTACCCTTCGCTCACACAAATATAATTTGTGATTCCTGAGCTTTATTTAGCTGCAGAGAAATTGCAAACAGATCGCAGGTGTAGCATTGCAGACAGAAATAAAATAAAGCAGATCATCTGGAAGAAACTAGCGACGGTACTGTAGAGCAGGAAAAAAAAAACAGAAGTGTGCAGATTATTAGCCATGCGTGACGATGATACAACTCTTGCAATCTGCTTCTTTGCAGTGAAATCTGTAAGGCTACCCAGTGGTAATTTGATGCCAGCAGCACTGTTCAAATTATTGGGACGATGAGGTCCTCACTGGTGGGCTGAGTCGCTTCTAAAGTGGCTTTTAAAACTGTAAAAACTCCTGGTAACGTTGCAGGTTTTTAAGTGTTATACATTTGGCACCATCATGTCTGTGACACATATCCCATAAAAGCAAACATTTGTCAGTTTCCAAGAACATGCTTACAAAATTTTCAGTTTTGAAAAATGTGATAAACACAAAAAAAAAAAAACACTTCTGAATTTCACGTAAACTCCTTCCTACTCCTAAAAACTGTGCCGTCAAAAAGTTAAACTTTTTCATGCAACTTTTTTTTTAGGTTGAATGAGTCTGTTTGAAGAACACTTTGCTTTCCATGTTATAAAAAAAAAGTATTGAGCTGTTTAAGTTCATAGTTCTGGTATAAATGTGACATCACTTCTGGACCGGATCACTGAAGAGCAATTCAAAATCCATAAATGCCAAAGTAAGAGAGCGTGCACTGATCGAAGCAAGGCGAACTGGTAAAACGTTTACGGTCTATGAGCATGGAGATAAAAAAAAAAAAAAATCAATTAATCATTAAATAGATACAGAAACACTTCTTGTTTTCTTAAATGTCTAGCTTTGCTTAAGCGATGAACATATTTGTCTAAAGTAAACATCCCCTCTGCTACTTCTAGTAAATCCATCTTTTATTAAGTAGGATTTAACCATGAATCATGTCTGACTTCTCATTAACCAGCTTTAATCTCATCCCAGAAATTCTTCATAAACAAACATCCATCATATTTATTATGTTTCCGTCAACATTTAGAGCTGGAAGATAAACAAAGGGAACTCAGGCAGAGAAAACCGGAAACTTCAGACTTTGTTCTGGATCTTATTTAGCTCATCTAGTTATGACTTTGTGTACAGATGCAGATTTTTAGTTTTTCAGAAAACAATACCAGCACCCAAACAGATTTTTTTTTGCTGTAAGATTGTTGTATTTTGTGTGACAGAAACCCTAGGGTTTGTTTCTTTCATTTCAACTCTAAATGTTGCAAAACTTCTTCAAATCGCTCAGGTTTGAGAACGTCTCATCCACAGACGTCTTATGGGTTTTTTGTAATGTAGTTCTGAAATCAGTTTTACTTTTTCTAAAATGAAGTCATTTTTTGGAAGATTGAGATGCGTGCTTGTTCTCAAAATAATGCTGAAAAATAAATTTCTTCTTGATATTTAGATACTTGAAGGTTTTGGGTCAAAACTAAACAGAATAAAGAGAAAAAAATAAACATGTCACAGTCACATGTTTACCATATAAAACAAAAGAGATCCTATTTGCTAATTATATTGAGCTTAGTTGGAGAAAACAGAAAAAGGAACAGGATTTATATCACTATTTCTTTGAATTTTATTTAGCCAAGTTTAATTAACTTAGAAAGCAGATTTAGCTGCACCAAAGTCTGCAATTGAGTAAAAGTCACTGGGCAGATTTGATCCTCTTTGCTATGAAATTAAAGAAAATTTAAAAAGCGTAATTTACTGAAAGACAATTACTTTGTGTGTTACCTATTGTTAAATATTTATTTTGTCCTGTTGATTTTATTCAAAAGTAAAAAGCCTCAATAGCCAAGTTTTTATCATTCCTAAATTCCAGTTGGGGGCCGCACAAAATCAATCCGGGGGCCTCAAATGGCCCCCATGCCGCACTTTGGACACCCTACCTTGACAAATTACCCATCGTATACTAAAAGTAAATGCGTCTCTTTAAATCAGCGCTTTTAAGTGAGAAGATATGTCTGCAATACAAATGCACATAAAATTATTCTTGAACATTTAAAGAAAACATCAACAATGGCTGTATTGATTTCTAAAGTCCTAACAGTTGCTGATCATATTTTTGGCTTTGTGCTGCATCGTTGTCAAAGCGAGTGCTTCACATGGCCGGATGATGAGCGTTGTGTGATGTATTCTCCCCTGAGAGCAGCAGTGGGTGAGGTGAAGTGGCAGGCGGGAGATCAGATGGCTCTCTGCTCCGTGCGGATCCCCGGGCCCCGGCCGTCCCTCCGCTGCAGCTGCTCCTCTGCTCTCCATTTGCCGCCCGCCTCCCCTCCTGTAACTCCCACTCCGCTCCCAAGTGGAAGCCTGCGCTCACATACAGTCTGGCTGTACTGTAAAAAGATCAGTCCTGCAGCTAATGATTAGCTTGCTAAACGATTATTCTGACAATTAATCGACTAATGGGATAAAGACAAGGGTCACATTTTACAGGTTTTTCCTTTAAAGGAGCTGGTGTGTAACTTTTATAAAACTGTCATCATGTCGTGACTGTTTGTTATGAGACAGATAATCTGTGAAAAGATCGATTTCCTCCCTGAGCTTCTGTTGGTTCTGGATCTGTCCGATTGATTTTTTTTTTTCAATCAGGTCTGTTGCAGTAATCAATGCAACGCATGGATGAGTTTCTCTAGATCTTGTCGAGACGTTAGTCCTTTAGTCCTGGAAATGCTCTTCAGGTGATAGAAGGCTGATTTTGTAACCGTCTTTATGGGACTCTGAAGGTTCAGTTCTGTTTTTCAGTATAGTTTAGTTTTATTTTGTTGTGACTTTTTGTTTATCTAATTCAGTTAATTTTAATTAGTTTTTAGAGTGTGTTAGTTGAATATTGTTTTGTTTCTGGTTAGTTTTTATTAGTTATAGTAGCAGGTTTTAGTTTTTTCATACTTTGGTTAACAACATTTATTCAACAAACTGACTGGTGTTTTCTGTCGCCAGGAGGAATATGAAATGCTGTAATTTGCCAAAGGCTGACGTAAACTGTTTATGTGTTCAGTTCGAAATAAGTAGATTAATTAAATCTTCAGTATGTTTTAATTGGTTTAATAAACACACAATATAGTTCCAGTTAGTTGTAGTTTTCTCCATTAATTACCGTTTTTATTTATTTCCATTAACATTGAGGATGTTCCAGATCCATAAGAGTAGATGTAATCAGTCTAGCTCTGTGGCTTTATTATTTATTTTACATTATATTTAGAATTTCTGACTTCTAACTAACCATTTGAAAGATGGTTTGTTGCAGTTTATTTACATTTTTTTCTGTATTTTCTACCCAGTGAATGAAAAACAAACATTTTTTTTAAACTAGAAATTCACTAGACACAGACACACACATGCAGTTTTGGCTAAAGATTCATAAATTTCTTATTGAAAGAGACTGATTTGGAAAAATTTTCTTTTGCCTGATTTATTTTTTTATCTGAATTATTGTCATTTTGGGCCTTAAAATACTAAAATTTCCATTTTAGTAATGGTCCATTTATACTTTGGTCCGTCTGATGATGAAATTTTTAAATATTAAATGACTGATATTTTGATCAGACTTTTTACTAAATACTGTTTACTACTGAGTAATTTCTTGGATGGAAACTTTTACTTTTACTTGAGTAGAAATATGTTGAAGCAGTGCTCTGGGTATTCTACTCACCTCCTGTATCAGCTGATACTAAACCTCAGAGATCTGTTTTTGTATCAGAAGTGGAAAAAGTGGATCATTTTAACTGACTACTTGACAGCTAAAAAGTCAAATAGAAGATGGATTCCTGTAAATATGGAAACTCTTAACATTTTGATGAACATCTGTTCCCTTTACATCAACACCACAGGTCTCCAAAGCAGCTGCAGACCTGATGGCGTACTGCGACGCCCACACACGCGAGGACCCCCTCATCGTTCCCGTCCCCGCCTCTGAGAACCCGTTCCGGGAGAAGAAGTTCTTCTGCACCATCCTCTGATGAGCCGCCGCCACTACTACGAGTGCAGGCTTGGCGTTGCCTGGCTTCTCTGTCTTCACCACACCTGAAGCTATTGGCCAACAAAGGCGTTGAGTTGAGTTTTGCCTGGTGGACACTCTGTTGTTGCTGGTCAGCTCTGTCTTAGTGGCTGAGGGTTTTGGGGGAGTCAGCCACCGAACTGGCAACCCAGTGAGCGTTACCATGTCTTGTTAAATAGGTTTGTTATTGCTTTGTTGTTAGAGAACAGCCTTGCTCAGTGCTTAATGAGATGAAAGATGTGTTTTGTTTTTTTCCTTTTTCTTTTTGAATTTTCTTGTGCTAGATCATAACTTGCCTCAGGAAACAGAAAATTTGCCCATTGTTGAAACTTCTACATCACGTTTTCCCCTTTTACTTTATCCAGAGCAAAGTTTACAAAGTTTTTAATTAATTTTCTAACGAGAGGTGCAGTTTGATTTTATAGCAACATTGAAATTTAATTTGATGCCTCCCTTTAATCTGACAGGAGAGTCTCAGAAAGTTAACTTTTCTTTTTGGACCCTCAAGCTGGCAAAAAGCAACTTCATATATTTAAACTTGAGATTTGACTTGGACTCATGGACTGGGACTCAAGTCTGATTGGGATTCTTATAATTAGAGGTTAAAACAAGCTGATATGACTGTAGTTCTGACACATAATACATCATATGTGCATAATATTCCAATGAAAACATTAGCTTGATTTATTAGCTCTGGTATACCTTCACTCTAGCCACTTCCTGATTATCAAAATAAAAGCATTTCCATTATTTTTATTCAAAAAATGCGAAAATACTTTCTTATCTACTCTTTCCACAGTGCCTCAGGCATAATGTTGTAATTTATACCTTACCTTGGTGCATATTTACCTTTTAGGCTTTACAAAACGGTTTTAAATCATTCAAATTGAAGTGGATAAAAACTTGTAAACCCTACATAGTTCAGTATAGAGTTAAGGATTACATAACTTTGATCCATGGATTGACACAATAAAAGCATATGGTTTTATTCATTCACAAATTCAAAAATTTTAAAGGCGAGAGACCTGATGAACACTCTTCCTGTGACGACGTGAGACCTGATATAAACATAAATTCTGAAAACTTGACTTAAACTCAAACCAAATCTGTTAGACTTGGTTTGATTGGGAAGCAACATTTGTTAAATTTTTAGATTTCATACTCCACTGACTGAGATAAACCGGTCCAAACCCTTTGAAGAACCTGTTCCCCATCTCACCTATGGTGGCGCTGCACCAAGAACCCCTGAAAGAAATTACATGAAAACCTCTGAAGAAGACATTGTACGTAACCTCCTTTTTCACGAAATATGAACAAAAAATGGAGTAGTGTCAGATGTTAGCGGTTGTAAGATATCTCTTTTGTATTTGGTAAAAGAACACGAGTCATTTCTCCAGATAGCACTAAACATTCAGGTTTGTTTTGGTTGTATTTACCCAGAATGCATTGTACTACAACCTGCTTCCTGCTTTTGGAGCTGTTTCCAGTCCTCTTGCATTCAAACCGCTACCAAGCTTTTTAGGCGGACCAGAGTTCATTTTTTTGGACAGCATCAGAGTTTGATGACTTATTCACACTTCCATAAACGAACCAAACCTTGTAGACAAACGAGCCAGCGGACTAAACAGGGTTGCTATTACAGAGTCTCACTCTAAAGACTTTAGACTTTACATAGTTTTGCGCTTAAAATACTGAAATGAGTTGCGGTTTTAGACTTGAGTCTCTTTAACAAACTTTAACTCGTATAACAAAGCGATAATGTCACATGGCTCAGTTATAAACCAGTGATTTACACCAGGGTGTTGATAACTAAGTTCATCATCATAATAATGACCACTCAGGTGTTTCTCCAGCTGAATAAATATATTAAACATCATGTACTTGATGAAAAAATGACTTTAGTTTTGAATTGAAACAACATCTGCACTTCACCCGTCAGGATTCGCCGAAAGCACAAAGAAACAGATTCCTTAATTTGCACTGAAAATAAGAGAGCGGAAGCTGCAAACCAATTCTGTTGCAAGTAATTATATTGAATCAATTTATGAAAGGGCACAGTGACAACAATCAGGTAACTTTTTCAAGGTTATCACAACAAACACAAATTATTCATTTGCTTTGGTGTTCTCTTTGATTCACTTCCAGTTTATTTCATCCCCTACAAATAAGAGACATTATGAGGTCATGTAGCTCCCAATTGGAGTATTATCTTTCAATTTGCAGGAGGGGTTTTCCTCCCTGTTTATTTTCTGGGCCTGTTTCCTGAGACTGGTTACTTATTTATTTTTTGCCTGTCCGATAGAGTGAATGGCACGGCCTTTGACATTAATGCCGGACCAGAGGCCTGCATGTTTTCCCGCTCCTCCTCTTTTTGACAGCTTCCTCTCTTTCCGAGGGACTGTCGGTCTTTTAGAGTGTACAGTATGTTACAGTGCCAATTTCTGTGAGAGCAGCGTGATTCTCACCCTGCAGGCCCTGCAGCCCTTTCTTCCCTTTTGTTCGTTTCGGCAGAGAAAGCACACTGTCGAAACGTTTCCTTTACATGGTAGTTGAATAGCATTTGCTAATTTTTACAATAACTTGTTATGATCGTTAATATTATTGTTATTATCAGTAGTAATATTGAATATTTGTTGCACAGCACTGACAGGTACATGACGTGTAGTGCTACTATAAGCTTGTATGAAGAAACAATTGTTTATAAATCATTGCAATTATTGATACTATCTCTGTATTTTTTAAGAACAACAGTAAGGGTTGTTTACACGATGTGATCCCTTTAGTGGTTCAGGCCTTTTTTGTTTTTTGCTTCATTTCTGTAAAATTGAGAGAAATTTCCTCCCTCCTGTTACTTGAATTTTACCTTCAAAATACGAATCACACCCTTGATGCAGGTTGTGTTTATGGTTTTATTTCATATAAAGATGGTGCCAAATCTACAACAAAGATTAAAACATCTAAAGATGAAAAATGCATGGATTTGTTTCTGTCTACAACAGGGAGGACTGTTATAATGTAAAATGTTGCACCGTCATTGACTTTTATTGGTGTTTCAGCGCCAGATGTAATTATTGGCACCTCTGGTAAAAGATAACGTAGAAAGCATTAAAATCCAATAATTTTTTCAAAACAGAAGCTTTAACAGAATATTTGGGAAACTTTCAACCTTTAATTTTAGTACAAAAGAAAATCATGTTTTCATTCACATAATACAGATTGTTCAAATTATGCTGCAGGACTCTTATTGTATGTAGAATAAATGGCCAGAAAGTTCAAATGTTTTGGATCACTACTCCATAAAATGAAGCATTTTTTGCTTTTTCTATAGCAGAAAATGCTCTGCACTGCAATAACACAAAGCAATTTTGGTCAGTTTCCAGTGCAAATATCTTAGTTCACTTAATATAAGACATAACTAACTTTTCAGCAAGA